GATTCTGCCTGGCTTCCGGCTAATGATGCCGTGTGTTAAGCTTTGTCAATGATTATATATTGAGAGGATGCAGCATATATCGGTTGATTGATTTGTAAGTACAGTGATTATTATTGAGAGTACATCAGTGAGATTGATGTACAAGTAGCTTTGTAAATGATTATATATGCAGCGTACATTGGTGCGATTGATGTACAAGTAATATGATGTGGTGGTTTGCATAAAGCAGGCCAACTGACATGAGGTTTGAAGATTACCGTAAATGGTAAACTTCTGCATGGGGATTGGGTATGAATCTCACTTCTTGCTTTTGATGGGCGCTATCCGATGTGGTGACTAATAGTTATATTCAATCCAACAACGAAGTTATTATAAGTAATCTTCCAATAATTCCCAAATTGAGCAATTGATTGAATTATACTTATCTGAGAGCTTATCTGTTTGCTTGATTTGGATAATCTAACCACTAACCGGTTTGGATGGTGGTCTGATTCTAGCATATCTCTGCTTAGCATACTTTTCAATCTGTTGACCTTCTGTCAACTTGAATGTATTTTACAACAAAATTTTGAAAACCTGTATACTGTTGTACAAAATGCTTCATATTTAGATATGTAGATTTTCTTTTCTGAGATTTATATGCATATTATTATATTATCGTTATTTGCTCAATAACTTTTTTATTCATTTATAATGATAAATATGCAATACTATCAATAGAATGAACCTATCAATAGAATGAACAAACTAGTATATGAATTTCCCCTAATTATTTTAAAGCACATAAACTGGTTTTCTGACTAATTTAAATCATGAGACGATTAACCAACCTTCCCAATATTGCATTTAACAATATAATTAGCTTCATGTGATCTTGGTCTGAGCAAATAGAGCTTTAGATTACATCACGAGTCTCGCAATATAAGTCATGGGCTTATATCAGTCAGATTTTAACAATTCAGTTTATACTATCTATTGGGGGATTTCTATAGATAAGCATCTAATCGATACTGAACTCTAAATAAGTTATTATTTATTGAAAATGAATAGTATTCCTTTATATACATGTTATTACATAGTAAACAAAATTTAAAAATCTACAGAATTTTCAAAATTCGATTTTCAAAATTCACAAAATTTTCAAAATTTTGTTGATCGCTTTGGTGCAGTTTTGGAACTATTACAACAGGTGAGAATAATCTTCTTTTTCTTACGTAACTAATTATAGGCTAATTGCCATATGATTACCCCTTATCACTTCCTCTTTGCCATTCAATATTATTTAATTTAAACAATTATGTGTAATCACAATATCAATCAGAAGCTACCCGCATTAATAAGATACTATAAAGAACATAACACAAGATCCATAAAAGGTAAAACAACAAATTATACATGTGATGCACGAAGTTATCTGATCTCACAATAATGTTCGCCCTATTACTTTGTAGACAGGCTTCTATTATATCATTGAGGAGAGCACAGAATACATAGCCTTATTCCTATATTCTTATCATATTTCGCAGTTTAAATCACTCTCCTTTGCAGAATTTTTACAGCTTTATATTGAGTGTTTTAACATTATAATAGCATATATTTTATATTTTATATGATTGTACTACTTATGCTAATGCCATATTGATAACAATAAATAATTGCGAGACTAAAAATGTTTAGATAAAAACTAGTGAGTAATCTAAAGAAGAGGTGGTTTAAACTACAAAATACGGTAATATTATTTTGATCCAAAGCTACTAACCTAAAAAGTAAAGCAATAGAATTCATAGTCGCATGAATACAAAGAGAATAATAATTCCAAAGTAAACGGGACTGCACAAAAGGTTATGCAAAAAAATGTGAAAATCTCTAAAACTTTCGAATTCATGTGATAAAGAATGCAAAAAAAAAAAAACAGGTAGGATAGATAAAAATAGGGAAAAAGAAGACAAAAAAAAAAAGAGTAAAAAAAAAAAAAAACAGTTAATAAAAATAAAACTAGAAAAAAAAAAAACAAAAAAAAAGTTAGTAAAAGTTATCCTTTTTAATCTTCTAAGCCTTAGTTTATAAAGATCAAAGATTCTTTATTGAATTCGCATTGTAAAATAAATCAGATAAAATATAAAAAGAGATAAAAGTATAAAAACTTAATAACCCAAGAATTTTCTTACCTTTAGTTATCATTCCTTATAAGTTTTTAAATAAAATCGCATAATTTTTATTCATAAAATTTTGTTCATTATGAATCCCTTTCCGGCAATGATATTAGCTAGCTCGACTACATCTAGTCAAATAAAGCCCAAAAAGCATGCTGGAGGAAAGCGTAAACATTATCTTACAAAGTATATTATTACTACTGATGAATATGTTAATCCACAAAAGCCCAATGATAAATATTGCTATTGCTTGGCCTGTTATGAATTAAACTTAGAAAAAGTTAAAATCGTTAATAGAAAAAAATTAGTAAGAAACCATCTTAAAAATTGTATATATTTTATGCATAAAGTTGGTGGAAAAGAACAAGTCAATAATATTCTAAATAAAGAAGATTCTGAAGAATCATCAAAAAAATTACGATTAGATTATGACAAAGGTAAACTATATATATTTCACTATAATATTCTATTATTTTATATTAAATATTATTTATTTTTAGTATCTTCAGATAAAGATAATAGTTTAGCTATCTCAAAAGTTGAAAGTAAAAAAATCGATCATTTTCTTGCTCGTACACCAACTTTTTTAGAACAGGCCCAATTTGAAGACCAAATTTTAAATATCACTATAACAAATGGTTGGTCATTTCGATGGGTAGAAGATAAAAGTGTTATTGCATATTATCATTGGTTAAATCCTCACTTAAAATTACCTAGCCGAAAACAGTTAGCTGGACGTATTTTAAAGGCTGCATCTGAAACTAACAGATTTCATATTCAAAACAAGGCACGTAAAGATCTATATGGAGTTATGATTGCTTTTGATGGATGGAAAAATGTAATAAATCAAGAAATTTTAGAATCAGTGCTAATTATGTCTAATGGTGAAACATTAGTATGGAATATAATTGATATTAGTGGGTGGAGAAAAAAATATGAGGATATTATGGAAATCACAGAAGAAATATTTGAAGAAATTAATGTATTAGAAATAAAAATAAATGGACTTGTAACAGATAGTGATGCAGCTTATGCAGCTTCAAGATAATTAAGGTTCTGCAAGTGCTAGGCATAGTATGCCCAACACTTGCAGAACTCTAAAGGTAATTTTAAACTTATTTATAAATATATATTAATAAAATTAATTCATATATTTTTTAATTATAGACGTAGACTTAGACTTGATAAAATCTTTTTATCATGTTATGCCCATCAATTTAATTTATGTATGGCAGAAATTTTTAAGGAATCTGATAATTTCAATACAGCAATGAAATCAACAATTACTGTTGTAGCTTATTTTAAAAATGCTAATCATTCTTATTTTATAAGTAAGCTTCGTGATGAGTAGTATTCTTTGTATAAGCATTTTATTTCATTAGCAAATCCTATAGAAACATGTTGGAATAGTTATTATTACTGCGTGAACTCTTTGCTTAAATCAAAAGGTGCATTAAAGGTATACCTTTTCTTTATATTTATTTTATTAAAAGTTTTATAAATTCTATAATATCAAATTATATATAAATTTGTATATTACAGATGCTCGTTGCTAAATTTGAATTTTCAGAAGTAGCATCAAATAATAAATCTTCAGATCTTTATTTGCCTGATAATATATGCAAAATTATTAATAGTGAACTATGGTGGTCACAACTTCAAGAACTTTCATAGCTTCTACTTCCATATTGTGCATACTTTAACAAGCTACAATGTGACAAAGCACGATTATATGAAGTTCTTCATTGTATTTCTTATCTTGTAAAATTATATAAAGGTTATTCAAACAAAAATTTCGCTGATCATATGATTAATTGTTTGGAGCACAGATGGAATTCTTGGAAACAACCATTATTACTTCTTTCATTTTTTCTTCATCCTAAATATGGCATATCAATATTTAACCCTATAAATGAACAGCTTTATTTTCAACTTAGTGATTGGTTAATATATTATTATTGTACTTGGTTTGGTAGTGAACCTCTTACTCTTTTACTTGAACTTGAAAAGTATTGAAAAGGAGAAAAGCCATTTACTAAACGTGTTGTCAACCAGTTTAATAATGATATTATGGGATATTGGAAATATTGTGCTAATTCAGCAAAAGAATTAGATAAAGTAGCATGTCATATCTTTGGAATTTGTGTTAACTCTGCCTCTGTTGAAAGGCTTTTTTCATGTATGGGCTGGTTACATAATAAGTCACGATTTCGCTTAAAGGTTTGTTTAAATTTATTGGATCTTTAACCATTAATATTTAGGTCTATTAATTTTTAAAAAATTTTAGCCTCAAAAAGTACTTCATATGAGTCAACTTTGTGCTACTATGAACCGGCATCACCGTTTGAAAGAGGTTGAATTATCAATGAAACAACACAAGCAAAACAATGTTGCATTACCAATACTTAATGAAAGCAATAATGTATCTGTAGTGGATAATGATTCGGATAATGAGGCAGAAGTTAATGAAGAAAACGAACAAGTTATTAGTGTAGATAATTGGGATGAAATAATACAATGGTGGATTAATATGATCTCTGAAGAAGATGAGAATGCGATTGATACTATAGGTAATGATAATGTAGAACAAATTATTCATAATACAGATCATCCGGCTATCAATAATGATGCAAAATAGAAGCTAGAAACATTGTTTAAAGACGATATTTGTGATCCAGAATTTATTTTTGACTTATAAAGATTATATAAATATTGTAATAAATGTGATTCTACAATAAAGATTAAATTCTTATACTCTGCATTCTAATTTATAAAAAATTATGCATTAAACTCAATTAATTTGCAATTCTAATTAAACTATTCATGTTCTTTATTCATGTTATTGTAAATTTATAACCATTACTATTATATAATGCTTATGCGGACTCCACTTTTTTTTTAGAGTTAATGAGAAAGTACTGATTATAAGAAAAGGCTGAATATCTCAATAAAATCTGTAAATTAAGTAACTTACAAGCTACCTATAAGAATTATCACAATCGCACTTAAAGTGATCTGACTGTTTATATTATTGTCGCGGCCCTCAATAATCATAAATGCTAGTAACGAGATACTAAAGCGAATGCCAACATCTCAATACAAAGATGAGAACTTTATTGACTTTAACTAGTGTATTATAAAAAGCGAAAGCAAAAGAAACTAGTTTTCCCCTTATATATATTGTATTTAACTCTAAATAATTACATTATTAATCTATTCATATGATATTTAACTTTTACTTATTACACTTCATACATTATAATCGTGCATCAATCCATTTACTCCACCTGTAATACGATCAATGATCGTAACCATAGCACGTGAGCATGAGACTACAAACTCGAACCCCCTTATTCGAAACTTACTCAAAGTGTATTACTATTACTTTTTTTTCGTACACTCTAATCCTTCTTAATTCAGGTTTTTGTTAATTGCTACTCCACATTAAATATGCAGGCGAACCATCCTAATGGACTTTGGTGCATACGACAAGTTGTTATGTTGATTCATAATTAAGGTCAGTATCATAGTATTATATTTGCCGTAAATAGCTACTAATTAATCAACGTTGTACTAATCATAATTGTTGTCATAGCATAGATCTTTTTGAATGCTTGCTGTATACGAATATGACGTAACATTTAAAATTTGCATCATGTAGGTACTTTATATACAAAATACGCACTAGTTACAACATAAGCTACGTTACAATATATTACATAAGTTGCAGCACAAGCTGATTATACGTTATATTCAATTTGCCAACTAGTTATCTCTTAAACCAATTTGCAGGCAAATTTGCCTGCAAATTTTTGATCAAAATTTCGTAAATGCGTCTCAGTAATATTAATACTGGCCATACTATTCGGAGCCTTTAACTGACATCACCTTGTCTTTATTTTCTCTTTAGTTTGGTGAAATAGTCACATAAAAGTCGTGTATACATCGCCTGGTCAAATTGCAAGATGTTATCGGATATGTTAAATTATACTTGTCAGACTTATTTATCGATAGCATGTTTGTGATTTGATTAGATCAAACACATGACTTTAACAGGTAAATATGTGTGATTATTGGATAAATTTTTGCAGGTGAATTTTCCTCAAAAGATTACGGTTTTAAGAATAACTGAGTTTTTTATATGTCACATCCCAACGAGCATCAATTTCTACTGAGGACTGATATTTATCGCAAAAATTTATATTGCTATTTCGTTATCTATAATAGTGATGCATAGAAATTGCTACAGATCATGCAGTAAATAGTCTCACCTTTTATACTTTGTCATTAGCAGTGTTACAATGATTTCTCAACACGAATTAGATAGAATTAAATATTTATTATTGTATTTTTATGGATTAATTAATGAGCTTAAAAGATGATTCTTTATTTTAGTGATTAAATTAAATTGAAAATGCAGGGTATGGTGCCAGTAAAACACAGTGTCCAGCCACGCAGGCACTATGCTTTAACAGTGCTAGGCTCAGCACTTGCAAAACTTTAATTGAAAAGTATTTGTAATGATAACTATTATGAATTTAAATAGCTATTTCTATAGTTACTTTTTATAAAAAAGCGATCTAAATTGATATTTTAAAATATATAATAGTGCTACTATATATAACTTATTGTCTATTGGTCCATTAAATAAATATTTCTTCAATGGAGTTAATTTTTTAAATCAATGGACCGGAGCTCCATTGATAGTAATAGACAAATTTGCCAACCCTGAGTGTGGACAATAGAAACAGTCTATTTTTACATTTATCTTATTTTAAGATAATTGAATTTAATCATTTGTTTTGATTTTTGGACTGATCTGGGATTAATCAAATTTCACGATTTTAATTGGCTAAAGGTAGCAGGTAACTATCAGATATTCTTGTGATGTGTTAGCTCTACAAAGCTTTGTGTAATTTTCTTTTACATTATTTTAATTTTTTATTATGCAAATCAACTTCTATTTATAATTGAAAAATGTTAATCATGTCAAAATTTATATGAATCTAATAAAAACTCAATTTTTAAAAAAATGTAAAAATGAGCTGTTTCTATTGTTCGCACCTCATATATATGTATATGTCTTTTCTTTTTCAGTAGCGATTGTTGTTGTTGATCTTTTGATGAAGATATGTTGTTTTTTTTACTTTTTAGAAAATTTTCGTAAAAGCCAAAGTAGAGTATAGAAGAGAGTTTCAGTTTGTGGATAGCTTTAAACTTTAGTAAAAAACGTGTTAAAAACTCACTTGTTGTTTTCCTTAGACCAACTATCTTTAATTTTATTAGCAGAAGCAGAGAGAAAGATAAGACAAGCTTTGACTTTTGTAAAAACTATTATTTGTAATTGTTTTTTACTTTTCTTCAACATGTTTCTGTTTTTATTAGCCAAAAAATTGGTACAAATGATTGTTAAGAAGAGCTAATTAAATTTTTTTTGATTATTATATTTTTTTTTCTAATTAAGCTATTCTGCCTTTGTTTATTTAGAATCAAGTTATTCAAAATTACAAGTAATTTATCTCTAACTAAAATAGATCCAACCAAATGAAGAACTTGCCTATGTGATTTTATATACTAGGCGTGATCTGCTTTAGTAGCTCTTGGCCTCCCTCAGAGACTTTAACTCACTGAAGACTTTTTTCCTGTTGTTCATTGACTAGCAGCTATCTGCTCATTAAGAAGCAAAATCAGAAAATAAAAAAAACAAACTAAAAAAAAAAACATATAGGTATAGGAGACTACAGTAAAAGAATACAAAATACGAAAAAAAGGGGTAAAGGAATATCAAAAAAAAAATAAAAACAAAACAGAAAATTTGCTAATTTTAATACCATGGTTATAAGCCTGTGAGTAGCTTAAAAAAAATTATATACTGACTAGACAAATTAGTCTTTATTTCTATTTTTCTTTAAACTAATATGTGAAAGTAAAAACCCAATAGGAAAAACTTCATCAACTGGCTTAAGATAAAGAGGTCAGAACAAAGTCTCAGAGAGATTATTATATTATTATTAGGGAATTGTTATTGCCACCCCCATTTTTGTTAAT